CTTCAGATATAGGAAGTTCGAAGAATGGGGCTTTTAAGTACCTCAAGGGTCGCCTTTGGAGTAAGGTTCAGGGTTGGTAAAACGTACCATGTCTTTGGCGGGCAAGGAGGTACTTATCAAACCTGTTACTCAGGCAGTCCCAGTTTTCTCCATGTCATGCTTCAAACTTCCTAGAGGGTTGTGCGAACATCTAAACATGCTCATCCGCAAATTCTGGTGGGGGACCAAAGATGGGAAGAGAAAACCGCACTGTGTTTCTTGGAAAACAATGACTCAACCCAAGGGCATGGGAGGTCTTGGTTTCAAAGATTTTGAGCTTTTCAATCTATCCATGTTGGCACGGCAGGCTTGGCGGCTGCTACAATATCCAAAAGCTTTAAGTGCACGAGTTCTGAAAAGTGTCTACTTCCCTAATTCTGAGATCCTGGAAGCGGAGTTGGGAGGCCACCCGAGCCAGGTTTGGCGCGCTTTCATCGAGGGAAGAGACATATTGAAGCAAGGCTTGATCAAACGGACCGGGAATGGAGCAGACACAAATATTTGGATGCAAAACTAGTTACCAAGAGAGGAAATGATGCGGCCTTATGGATGTATTTCACAAAATCCACCTACTTTGGTCTCTGAGCTCATAACTAGTGTGACCGCTTCCTGGAATAGACAGCTTGTCCAAGCAACTTTTATGCCGATGGATGCTCAGGTCATACTAGGGATTCCTTTGTGCACGTGTAATATCGCCAACTTTTGGGCATGGCATTATGAAAAGCATGGATCCTTCACTGTGAGATCAGCATATAACATGCTTGTTGCTACCAGGAACCGATGAGAAGCATGGCTTGAGGAAGTTTCAGGTCCTTCCAACTCCAGGGCTGACGAGGGGGCTTGGAAAACATTGTGGAAAACAACAGTTCCAGGCAAAGTAAGGATGTTCTTATGGAGACTATCGAAACATTCACTTCCGACAAATGATGTTTGAGCTCATCGTCATATGGCTGATTCCCCTCAATGCGGAATGTGCGGAGTCCGGGATTCCTGGTGTCATTCAATCTTGGAGTGCACTTCGTCGAGAAGCGTTTGGGCCCTTGTCGATGAGGAGACTACACATAAAATCATAGCTATATCGGAGCCTAAGGCGAAGCAGTGGTTGTTCACGCTCTTGGAATTGCTATCTCATGAAGAGTTTGTGCTGGTAGTGGTAACATTATGGTCCATATGGCATGCGAGGCGCAAGACTATCCATGAAGCTAGCTTCCAGAGTCCCCATACGACCCACGGTTTCATCACAAGGTTTATAGCTGACCTCGGCATTGTTAAGGAGAATGATCAGAGAGGGGCCGAAAGAGTGGTTCCAAGCACTCGGGTGCACACACGGCCAAAGAAGCCACCAACATGACACTGCAAGATACATGTGGATGCGGGTGTTCTAGGCAGAAGAGGAGGTTCCGCTGCGGCTGTATGCAGGGATGAAGAAGGAAATTATCTGGGAAGTTCAGCTCTAGTGATTGAGGGGATTACAGACCCAGCCTCCCTTGAAGCAATGGCGTGTCGGGAGGCCTTGGCACTTGCAGAGGACCTAGGTGTTTAAAACTTTGTGGTGGGATCTGATTGCCAATAGGTGGTGGCTGACATCAACAAGAATGCTAGGGGCACGTATGGAGTAATTATTAATGAGATAAAACTCAGAGCATCTTCATTTCATTGTACTTTTGTGTTTGAGAGTCATGTTGTCAATGTTGAAGCACATAATTTAGCAAAATTTTCATTTTTTAGAGGTCCGGGACACCACGTTTGATTTGGTGCTCCCCGCGATATCAGACTAGTGTCTGGGGCACGCCCATGGCGTGCCTCTTGGGGGTATCTGTGCGCACTTGTATTGCTCGAGCACCTCATCATGTCCTATGCAACCATTTTCACACGTTTACACACATTTGTCTTCTACTAATAACAGACTAAGAGTTGTTAGCATGACATTATGGATTCCTCATAGAAGATGGAAATTTACAGTGTTGAATGGAAGAAAATAGAAGATGGCATTCATTCTGTTAAAAAAGATATAGTAATAAATATAATATACAGAATCACAGTTCTATATCTGATGAAAAAGAAGCCTTGGTTGTTTTAAGGAGGCATCAACACTATATAGCAAAACAATCCGACGATTTGTCTCTTTTTAGAAGGATAACAGTTCGAACCATTACATCAGACCATCCACTCTAAAAACACATAAATATAAGTTAGTACATATAAATTAATTAACACAACTTCCAACTGGTAGTCTTCCTTCAGATTGCATGGTGGTTCAAGTCCCAGCCTAGCGAGCTAGAGACTGTGTAAGAAGTTGAACACCACGGCAAGACACCTCAATTTACAGATCTCACACATAAATAAGGCACAGTGCATCCAGTCAACAACAAAGTTGTTGTTCTTGCAAGAACGGTTTGCCTAATTTTTAAGTTCCCGAAGTTTCTAGGTTTACCTAAAAGTAACACCACACTAAAATCACTTGGAAATTAAGAGGTGGAGAAGGAGAGGAAGGAAGACGAGGAAGATCTTATTAATTGTACAGAGACGAAATGCATCAGACAATCTAAGTTGCAAATAAAAAAGTTAACACATTAACTAAAAATACAGAGAAAGGCATGTGTTTTCCCCAGCCTCACCCTTGTTGGGGTAATCAACAGGGAGAAAAGCAACAACTCACTTTCACACAAATCCATAATGTGTAGTATCTTATATTACAACAGACATCAGTTGGAAGGAAAAGAAAAAGAAAAAACTGTCAGACTTGCCAGTGGCGAAATTTGTACCCTAGACAAAGGATTGCTAATAATCTACTGGTGTTTGAAAACTGTCAGCGTCATCCTGTGTATCAGATATACACCCACTCTATCTAATTTTTCAGAAAATTCTCCTTGAATCTAGTCATATAGCAAAGATAAGAGGTCTAAAGACTTGCAGAACCAAAATACAGAGGCAGTACTGAACATCTACCCAACAATTAACATAAGCACCAATGACACACTGCCAACACTATGTGTAGGACATAAATTGATGCTTAGTTTCATAGTTGGAATTTATTACACCAACAGGTAGGTAGGTGCAGAACTCCAGCCTTAGATGGAGATGCTGCAAGGTACAGGGAATGAAGAGGATCTATTCCGATAACTTGTAGAATACCTCTGGAGAAGGCCTCTTGATAGTGTGCAACTTGATCTCCATATTCCTCGTCATGGAACCAAATAATTAACTACCACATGAGCATACACTCAGATCAAGAAACATGTGGGAATCTAAAGCTAAATCATGGCAATTATCCTGCGACATTCCAAAGAAGTTGAATAAAGCTTGCTGACACAACCCCAAAGAAGTTGCCATCTGTCAAGACAAACAAGCATGCAAGTAAGAAGATATAACACATGTACGCAGAATAATCCAGCATATTAGCCAAGGAATAACCAAGAAACTACTAACATGTAACTTCACATGCATCAACAAGGTGTGGTTTACAGATCTTAGTGGGCAGACAGTAACAATATCTGGTTCTTACTATATTAAGCAATAAAATACCCAATATAAATATGTATTTGCACGTATATTCAACAGTCTACCAGTCGACAGTCACTTTCTGTACACTCTGCATCAAACAGATCGAAGTGAATTTGTTGATTCTCTGTCATGTATCTAAAAGATAGAACCATGAATGAGTTCGGCTTCGGGCCTCTGCATTAATCGAGAACAGACAGCCAAACAAGCTTCGTTGGATATCACCATATATGTTGTCGCTGCAAATTCTTTAGTGGGTCCCAAACTCCCAATAGTTTAAAGAAGCAGATGAGTAAGTAAGTCGCATTACTTTGTGTTTGTGAGCCGGCGACTACTACCTGTTGTAAAGATATTATTCCACTAACAAGCACAACAGCTCAAACAACAAATATTGGAAGACAATCCAAAATAGCAAAACACTCGTCAATAATATTCAACAATAGCTCCAGTCAGATAACAAAGGATAATATGATCACAGCCCGATGACCAAGGGTTTAAAATCTTTTGACAACATACATTCCTGAATTTTTGTGAATATCCAACAATGGCAAATATTGACAAAAGATTGCTAATAACCTAATGGTGTTTGAAAACTCTCAGCATCATCCTGCAACTTGCTGGATCAGATATACACCCTCTCTATCTATTTTTCAGAAAATTCTCCTATAATCTAGTCGTAGCAAAGATAAGAGGTCTAAAGACTTGTAGAACCAAAATTCAGAGGCAGTACTGAACGAATATGAATGAACCAACAGCAACTCCACTACAAACTTCAGATCTAAAGAGTACCTTAAATTGAACCCGCTGGGCACTGGAATTATAAAACACAGGTGCCAAACATTTTACAGAAAAGAAAATTGTGGGCGGAATCCTTCCGGGTTAGGGCCGGCTATTAGGCTGTGTGGCGAGCGGTCTCGAGGGGAGGGGAGGCAGGATAGCGTGCAACTTATGAGTTGATTAGTCTCAGGTTTATGTTTTGTGAAATTTGATCTATGGACTGAACAAGTGCAATAGGTTTTGAAATTTTCTTGAATCACTAGTTCAAAACTATTTCAAAAGAGAGTTTAAAGAAATGAGGTTAAAAGAGTAGACTAAAAAAAGAGGTTTAATTGAAGCATTAGACAGAAAATGATGTTTTGAGCCTAGGTTGTACCACAGCAAGAAAATGCATGTTGTGCCTGAAGCCGTCAACCCTTCAAACTTTTCAAATACCAGTTAAACTCACTATATCAAGATCATTTTTCCAATATCAGTTAAACCCACTAAATCTCAGCACTGCTAACAGAAAAAGTGAAGAGCTCATTGAAGGTCCTAAAAATGCTTTCACCAGAAGGCGTAGGACCGTGCAGCACAAACATTATTCAAGGAGAGTGTGACCATCGCAACACTGAATCTTCTCTGTCAACTCTACACATCAGAGATTGATGACAACATGGTTTACTGGTAGTGGAAATGTAAATTTAATATATAGTTTGGAATGCACCAGAATTCAGCACCTGATCCCTTACTGAAGGCATCATGCCATCGACACCATCAAATGAATCAACACCAGGGTATAAACACGCAGATGAATCGGTTTGACAGAAAAGGAGACGACAGTAAGACATGGACGGGTTTCGATTACTACCTCGCGGCGGGAGAGCTCGGCCTTCCAAACGGCCTCCCTCTCGGCGACCTCGCGTTTGCGTTCCTGATGTAGCTGGCATCTCCCGCTCCTTCATGATGCGATCCTGGATGTCCGCGTCCAGCGCCTTCTGCAACTCCTTCACGAACCTGTCCATCAACGCTTTGATCCGCACCCGTATGCTCCCGGACCAAAACCAAGAAGATCCGGGAAGATGAGGTTGGACGGGATGGAGCTCGCGGCCGGAGATGAAGAGGGCACGAGCGTAGGTGAGGGCGGCAGCGGCCATTGTGGACGAGGACGGAGTGAGGAGTCGGAGAGGCGGCGCGTAACGCTGGCGCCGGGCTTGCCGCCGATTCACCTCATACCACAACGTCTCATTGACCCGGACGCCCCCTCTCCACCGGTCGCCGCCACCATGTTCCTGCCCTCTCGACGGAGGAGCGGGCGCTGGGGGAGCTGGGAGCATGGGATGTGCGGACGGCGGCGACGGCGGCAACCCTAGGTCCGCCCGGGGAAGAGAACGCACCCGACCAGTCGCTGCTCTTTTCTTTTTATCTTTCTCTTTTTTCTTTGTCGTACCTGTGAGACGTGGCACGCACGAGCGACCGCTCTTTGCGCGACTCTTAAAGGGTTTAATGTATCCCACTCCGGGTGGACTTTTTTTTAGAACATAGACGCTAGGGGCGTCCGACTTTAAATTAATAAAGCCCACAACTAGGCAGCGTGACAGAATAGTCTTTAGGACAAACGAAACGAGCGCGGAGGCTCAGGCCGCGCGAACGCGGTGGCACGAGAAGTTCGGGACCGGCCATAGGCCAGATGCAGTTCACAGCGAGTCTATTACAAGCCGAAGGTCAAGAGCATATAGCACTCAGGCTCGCTCACGAGACAAAAGATCCACTTCACGGCGAAGGCCCTGTTTGGATCCTAGAGTTAGTGTTAGTTTGAGTTGTTTTGGGTTCAAATAGCTCAAAAGAATCCAAACAGGTGGGTTAGATTCAGTTAGTTGGCTCTAACCCATGTAGAAAAACTATCCCTGTGGGGAGATGCTAGTTGGGCTAGTTTTGCCGGGCCCCACAAAAAAATAACTAAAAAAGTTGCCCTCCTACGCCAGATCCCGCACCACCTCGCGCGACCCATCTCGTTCCCCACCGCGCCGCCCACCCAAGCGTCGCGCCGCCGGCCCGGGCGCCGCGCTGCCCACCCAAGCCGCGACCTCCTCCGGCCGCCGCTCGTCCTCCTCTGACCGCGACCTCCTACGGACGCCGCGCTTCTCGTCCTCCTCCAGCCGCCGCTCGTCCTCCGGCTGCCGCTCATCCTCCGGTCGCCGTCAAGGTACATACCACACGCATGCCCAGCCGCCCTCCATTTATTTGGTTCGATCTGTCAAGTAGGAGTGATCGGAGCCGAATGGAGTGAGCTAGTGAGCAACAAGTCAGCAAGAGTTGTCCATAACTAGATTTGTTGACAAAACTTCTGATTAGTTCATCCTAAAGTCTAAAAAGTGGCCGGCCACTAACTGACCGAAACGGGCGGCCGGCCCGTGGCCGTTCGATCGCGCGAGCGATCGCTCCCAGATCCGCCAGGTGCCACCTGGTCTGGATTGGTCGCGCACCACGGTCGTGGGCGGTTTTGTCCGCATCCGGACGTGGGAGGCCCACCTGTAAGTGGTAGAGGAGAGAGTAGTGGGGGTCGTGGGCGGCGGTTTTCGAAATCTGCGCCTGAAATCCCTCGCCGCAGCGTGCTCTCTCTCCCGTCCTTCCTTCAGCGTCTTCCTCCTCGCCATCCTCTCCACCGAACAGGGCGTGGCAGGCGGAGTGCTCAGATTTGACGGTGGCTTGCGGGTGGTTCTCCTCGCCGGGGAATCGCTGGTGCTCCTCGCCGCCGGAGGTATGCTCTCCCTTCACTTCTACGTGCTTCTCCTTCCTTTCTCTATCTCGCGGGGCGCGGATGGTGCCGAAATGCGAGGGGAATGCTCTCTAGGGTTCGGGAACGACGCGAACTACCCCCGCTTATCTTCGATTTTGGTCACGTTGAGTTCCGTTCTCCCATCTCGCAGCACGCGCCCAACGGTGGTCGGGATCTACAAGGTGGCCTGAAATCCCTCGCCACAGCAAGTTCTCTCCCCATTCCGTCTTCGTCTTCCTCCTCGCCATCCTCTCCACCGAACGGGGCATCGCGGCGGAGTGCTCAGGTTGGCGACGGCTTGCGGGTGGTTCTCCTCGCGGGGGAATCGTTGGAGGCGTAGTTCACGGCACGGGGGTGGCTGGACAGGGTCAACGTGTAGTCCCCGTTTGCGCGATTTTAGGGGCGATTTGGCTGTTTACTTCATGTTCCGTTCAATTTTTGCAGAGATTTGAGATCTGTTCATGATTCTTAGTTATTCTGTAAGTTGTATTAGATGTGCGCAATGTTGTGTGCAATGCATTGGCTGATTTCGTAGTTGGTGTTAAGAGATTTAAGTGGTTAGTTGCACAAAATTCTCCTCAGTTGGCTACGTCCATATAGTACTTGGCTGTCCATATGCTCTGTAGTTGCAGCAGTTGTTTTGGTCAGTTGGCTCACTGTTTTTGTGTGCAATGCATTGGCTGATTTCGTAGTTGGTGTTCAGAGATTTAAGTGGTTAGTTGCAAAAAATTCTCCTCAGTTGGTTGCGTCCATATAGTACTTGGCTGTCCATATGCTCTGCAGTTGCAGCAGTTGTTTTGGTCAGTTGGCTCACTGTTTTTGTACTAGGTGGTTATCTATACTGTGTTCAGTTGCACAAGTTGCCTGCTCGGTTGGCTGCATCACTTTTACTAAGTTGGCTATTCATATGTTATACACTTGTGCCAGTTGCTCTACTTAGTTGGTTTTACTTAGTTGCATATGTTATACACTTTTACTAGTTGGCTGTTCCCCCCTCTACTGTGTGCAACTAGGGACTCTTTGTTTGTACAATTTTAGCACCAATGCTTGCCAATTTTCCAATATAATCTACCCAATCCACCAGCGTTGTGGTGGCTGTGGTGGTTTATGTGTTATTCTCCTGCTTTGTGCAACTAGGACCCCTTGATTTGTGCAAATTAGTACCAATGCTTGCCAATTTTCCATTTTAATTTTTCTCAGTGTGCAAGTCTTTTGTTGTGGATGTGGTTGTTTTCATGTGTCTCCCTTCATGTTCAACTAGGGACGCTTTTTTCAGAATAAGTTATCTCACTGAGCTTGTTGCCTTTACTTAACTTTTTTCTGTCTAGGTATTACTTGTCACAGTTGGCAAGTAATAATTAGGCAGAAAAAAGTTAGTTGGCTTATTTGATGTCCAGTTTGCACAAGGTTTACTGCCCAGTTGGCTGCATGATTGTAGTAGTTGGTTGTCCACATCTTCTAACTATGTTTTTTTGTTGTATTTCCTTCCGCAGGGAAAAAATGGTTATAATAGGAGGAGATGCGGGTGGCAATGAAGGAGATGTATTTTTATTCACTTTTTTTCTTTTGTTTTTGAGTTGTTTTTCAACTTATGCATGTATGCTAATGTCTTTTTTTCATGTTTTCTTTTGGTTGCTTAATTAGCGTTCTGGAAGTCAACCTCTTCGTCGGAACTCGAAGCGTCCTGCTAATCGCCAGCCACGCCCTGCGCAGAGTGTTGAGCAGGGAGAGGATGTTGAGGTAAGTGGCATGTTGATGACACAAGTCCATTTTTTTGGTTTTGTTTGGGTCATATAACATTTTTTTTATTTTTTCCCATGCTCATGTTTTTTTCTTAGGATGCTGATCAGTTCCGTGTTGTAAAGCGGACTAGACGTGCAACACTTGGCAAGGGAGCTGAGTCATCTTCTAGGGTAAGTAAAATCTCAAATATAAGTGTTTTTTCTCGCCTTTTTTAGATAGTGATGAAATTATGCAGCAGTTCGGAACACTATTTTTTGTTTTTTAGTCTGTCAATAACAACCTTTTTGTAGTTGACATCTCTAGTCATTTTGATTTAAATACAGTTGACATTAGTTGGCATTAGTTGGCATCTTGTAGTTCACTAGTTGGCATCTTTTCATAGTTGACATCAGTGATCATTTTTTTGTGCAGGCAACAGTTGCTGGAGAAGCTGTCGCATCTTCCACAGCAGATGCTGAGGTATGCGGGTTTTTTGTGTGTTTTTATGAGCTATTTGAATAGTTCTTTGCAAACCTTTTTTTAGTTACTGTTTTTCTTGTGTTGCAATATCATTTCTTATTGTTGCACATACACTAGAACTTTTTGTAGCTGCCAGGTCTCGTTCTTTTTTTATTTACTGTTTTATTGTTGCACATTCAGTTGCACAATGGCAGTCTTTGCAGTTGTCCTCATGAGCTTTATTAGTTGCACAAATACATCATATTAGTTGGCATGATCCATTTTATGAATATATAGCTCATTCTAATACTGATCCAAATGATGATTGCTAGTTTTTTTTCATTCTTGTTTTTTCTCTTGTGTTTAATGTTTGTGTAATGCTTTCATTTTCTAATCAACAGGGCAGCGGTGAAGGAGTTGAGGTGTATCCAGGGGAAGATGTGGAGCGACCATCACAAGCAGGCAGGATAAGGGCATCACCAGCGCGCTTTGCAAATTTCAACGCCTCTCTAACTCCACTACAGAAATTAGAGCTAGTTTCGAGGTCGGTCGGGGGCTATTGAACTTATCAGACACACTTCCAGCGGACCTCACTAAGTTTCTGGTGCAGTCCTACCAGCCACAGACCTCTGAAATGGTTTTCCCAGGAAGGGGAAGGATCCGTGTCGATGCTGACAGTGTTCAGAGGGTATTTGATCTCCCAAACAAGGGTCCAAAAGTCAGATATTTAGTTGACAAGGATGCCACTAGGAGATTCAGACAGGCTTTCAACATAACTGGAAATTCTCATCCCCAGATCACTACATGGCTCAAGATGATTGAGCATATGGCTGGAAGAACGGATGACACATTTTTTATGGCCTGGCTTGCGATTGCCTTCAGTACTTTTCTAGCACCAACCACGGCCTTGAAGCTCAGCCCAAAGTGTTATGGACTTGTGCTAGATCATCAAATGCTAAAGAATACAAACATCTGCCTCTTTGTAGCAGAACACATTAATGAAGCTTTCCGGAACATGGACCAGGAGAAGCAAACTGTTTGCTGCTACTTGTATCACTTGATGGTTAGTGAAAACGACCACTTTTTTCCATCTGTTCCTGTTCTTTCTGTGCAGTTATAGTTTGCTGAAATTCTCATAACAATAATTGAACTTGGCTTTTTCTTTTGTTTGGGTCTGGTGCAGATACTATACCTTGATGCGCTCGTACATGACATCCCAGTAAGCAACTGCGCGATACGATCGAATGCATGGGATAGTACTCTAATTGCCAAGGTGATCAAGAAGGATACTATCTCTCCTGGTGTGTTCGGCAAATTACAAGTGAGTTCTTTTTTGTTTTTTTCCAACAGTGTCTTCCTTCTATGTTCTTTTGATGT